ATTCCTCCCAGGCAAATAGGCGACACGCGAAGGGCTGCACGAGGAGAGAGCACTCGGTAGATACCCAAGTTGGTGGGTGGAGGATCTGCAGGTCCGAAGGGGTGGTACGTTTTTTCGTTCGAGGTCATGATACAAAGTTAAGTTATTGCTATGGATTGGATTGGAGGATTGAAGTTCAGCTTGTGGTGGGTGTTATCGATGAGAATTCGTAGTGAAAACTGAAGAGAAGCCTTATATACACGAGCATCGATATACATTATGGAGAACCAGCCCTTTGCTTCTTTCTAAGTGAGAGAAGCTCTGATGCAGAACAGCTCCGATCAATCCTGGATAAGACTAATGTGGGCGGTGTCAGATAGTATTCTCTATTGACACGCCCACACCTTGTGACCATCTGTAGAAAAAGGCCCGATGACTCCGCGTGCAAGAACGACTCGGGACGCTGTAAGGAACACTCAGCGTCAGGTATACTGAATCAAAAATCCAGTACTATATGAGATATCGACTCAGTATTTCTGGTAGTGCTGCTTGCGATGATATCCCGACGAGTTGGACAGATCTAGAAGTGAAAATTCTTGATCAAGAGTTGGTAATCCTGCTTAGGATAACTTCCCAGGAAGCTTCCGATACCGGGCGAGCGTTTTTGAGAAGAACTAATCAGCGCTCAGCTGTTTGACGTTGAGCATACTATGAGTAGTGGTTACGGGTGTGCCGGCGGTATCGGTGACAAATTGTCACAAACGTTCCAGACTAGCTTTTTCAAGTTTTCGGCTTTAGACTTTAGAATGGAATTTGAACATTCCACGGCCCGGACAATGCGAGTCAAATTACGAGCACACTCAGATCTCAGTACTGCACCTTTACCCATGTGTTGGTCCATAGAATTTAATGGCTGAAGCAAAGATCGATGGTAGGGGTCATAGTGGTGCCGGCGTTATCAGTCAACGTTTTAGACTAACTCTTTGCAAATTTCGGCTCTAACAGAATGGAGGAGGAACGCTGAGGAACGAGGCACGAGCGATCTCACGACCCGAACAGTGGAGGCCCGGATATTTGCAAACACAAGTCGCTTTCACCGCACCACTTCACCATGCCACCAACGTTACAGATGTTCAAATTCCAGTTGCCATTTACATCTATATCCACTTTTTACACGTTATTACCTTGCAAGTTTCAAACCCTACCTCAAGTTCCGGCTCCACAACCATGACGGTCCCTGCATGTCTCTCCCCGTTTTTTTGGAAAATTTTCTCGAGTCAAAAAAGCGATCGTTTCATGTCGTCGTCGAACATCGACGTCTCAAACTCCCGAGCTTCCGGGTCTATACCTGTCTCTACCTGTTATAGTGGTGTATAATCGAACCCACAGAATCCTCCACGGACGTCGAGGGAATCGAGGGAGTCAAAAACACGTTGAAACTTGGAATTCGAAATGGATCCGGAAGCATAATACGTTAGTTCCTGGATTAAAAACTTGCCTGATCTACGGCGGGTGTAACTATCCATTTAATGACGTTCGAAGAAGCTCTAGGCCCCTCATAAATACTTTCACTACTTAAGCTTAAGCTTGTTGTGGCGAGGGGTCAAAGACCTCCTCTCTGTACTCTCCTTTAATTGTCGTTCCCTATAGCTGCCTTGGACCTGAGCACGGTCACGGTTCTTTGATCTCCCTCTCTCCCTCTCCCTCTCTCCCTCGCTAGACGAGTAGTCCACAATTAGGATTCCGTCGACGGTTCGCTCAGCCTTCAACACTCTATCACTTCCTGCTAGCTAAAGACATTTATCTTGCTCGGTCTATTCAGAAACACCCCTAAAAAACCTCATACCCAACGCCCCGCACGGGATCCGGATTCAGGATCCGAGGCTATAACATTTCGGAATAGTTTTGGGCTAATGTAATCAATCATGGCTCTCTTCCCAAATCCCTACACTCTTAGTCTATCCAGTGTCTTGACATCGTCCTTGATGTTTTCTCTCGTCATTCTCCTGGTTATTCTTATAGTGATGACGACGCTCCTATTTATTCTCCTTGCGTGTGCGGTGTTTACCTTTCGGTTACATGTCGCTCGGGGGGATGGGGCTGCTCAGGGTGACTCGAACGGGGCTAGGGAATGGAAGCGTTCTGAAGGGATGGGAAGACAGGAGGATTGGAGGGAAGGGTACGTGGTAAGGAAGAGAGGAAGAGAGGTGAGCCGTTTGACACCTTCCATTGCTCTTTTCCGAGAATTCCAGAAGGACTGAAAATTTAGATCCAGCACAACTTGGCACAGGAAGTCCTAAGATTACGAAGACAACTCCGAGTGCAGACGGAGAGAATGGACAACTTGGTGGTTGAGGCTCACCGACAGCTGGATACGATTCGTACGTTCGTCCAAACTTGATTTCTTTTCTATATCAATCTCAATTGATCATGGTTGGTAGGAAATGACCTTCAACAAGTCTCCGCTTGTAAATGTCAACGTCACAAGCCAGAAAGGCTCAATACGAGCATTGGGATTGCGCCGAATTCTGTCAAAGCCAAGAGGAGTTGTCATTCTAGAAGTTCCGGGTCTGAGGACTTGGTTGAATCTGGGGAGACGTTGGAAGGTTCGGGTACAGGTCACGGTGAAGTGAATTATGAGATAGTGTCTCCAAACGGGGTCTATGATGTTCGTCTTTCTCATTTCCTCTGCTAGTTCGTCCCAACTCACCTTGAACCTTCGGCTCCTTTTCTTGCTTAGTTCCAACTGATATGAATTATACAACGAAAAATCAAGAGAAATTTATTTCGAAAGCACATCTAATTTGGACATTTCGAACTCTACCTACTAATCCTATCTATCCTACCTATATTAATCCGTGATAATACACGGGTTTACATACATACATAGAGCATTGCTATTACTGCTATTACTGTTTTTCCTACACACGCACAGCACACACACACACACGAGTAGTCAAATTAAATGCCCCAAGAATAGAAAATTTGTATACACGATTCATAAAAGATCTCTCTTTCGCAATCTGTTAGGGGCGAAAATGAGTGTACATAAGAGAAGTTTTCATTTGTTCGGGAAATGAATAAGGATTAGGGCTCGATGTCAAAGAACTTGAAGATCATCGCGAAGACGCTAGTCTAGCGTTCATTTTACCGGGCAGGTCCTTATGGACCACGAGGGAAATGAAACCTACAGCCAACGTTAAACTTCAACTTAAAGGTAAAGCGTAAGAAATGCTGACTGGGAGTCGGACGCGTCGCATGATGTAGGCGTCACCTGATCAATGACATCACCCTTAATAATGCCCATCGATATCTGTTGCGACCATTGCGTCTCTTCCCTTCTTGATATCAAACTATCACCATGGCCCACTCTCTTCCTCCTCTCGACTACCCCTACAATGCTCTCGAGCCATACATCTCGGGCGAGATTATGACTCTCCACCACACCAAACACCACCAGACCTATGTCAACGGTCTCAATGCTGCCGAGTCCGCCTACGCCTCTGCAGCCTCTCCCAAACAACACATTGCTCTTCAGGCTGCTCTCAAGTTCAACGGAGGAGGTAAGGAAACGTTTATCAATGCGTTTATTTATACATACTGACTGCGATCAAGGACACATCAACCACTCTTTGTTCTGGAAGAACCTCACTCCATCTCCTGAGAAGGGAGGCAACGGTGGTGTCTTGAAGGACGGTGCTCTCAAAAAGGCCATCGATTCTACTTTTGGAAGCGTGGACAACTTGAAGAAGGAGTTCAATGCTACCACTGCTGCTATCCAAGGATCTGGCTGGGGATGGCTCGTGAGTCTCTTCATGAATAAGCTTTGCTCATCTCTATTCTACGCTGGTCCACATCCGGACCAGTGTTTTAAATCTTATCTTTGGTATACCAACTACTGATCGTGCGGCCGTTGCGATTCTAGGGTGTTAACCCCTCCAGCAAGCGTCTTGAAATCGTCACCACCGCCAACCAGGACCCTCTCCTCACCCATGTCCCCATCATCGGTGTTGACATCTGGGAGCATGCTTTCTACCTCCAATACAAGAATGTCAAGGCCGACGTGCGTCGTCTTTCATTTTCTCGTTCTTTGTCACAACGTCGCTGATTATTTGATTCCCGTTTATCAGTACCTCACCGCCATTTGGTCCGTCATCAACTTTGACGAGGCTGAGAAGCGTTTCGCTGAGGCAACTGCCTGAATATATGGCAGCAATGAAGAAAAGGATAAGCTAAAGGCAAAATATTGATCATGTATCATTAAATATTTGTGTACTTTTCGGAACGATTTGAGTTGCTTTGAGTTGCTTCTTGCTCTATGGATGTTTTTCGCCCAATGGAGGAACGAACTTCGAAGCCATTCGACGTGAGAATTGCGAGATTTTGCAAGGGTATTGTGTATGTGCGGTGATAAGCACGGGCTTGGAGTGAGGTTGTAGATAGGACGGTCCCGACGGAGAGTCGAGCCCATAGAACTTTGAGCGGAGATTTCGGATTTTAGGCTAAGTTTAGTCAGCCTTGTCCTTCTCCACTTTCAGCTTCATGTTCGTCTGGTTGTAGTGTGCCATTCTTTTAGTTGCTTAATGAATACCTTCTTCCGACTGTATCCCGAAAGCAGGAGAGATCATTTCTGATCCTATCGGGGCATACATGCCTATAAGATCTCAACCCCAAGAAGACTCTCACACTCCTCCCGTCATGGCTATTGGACGGGTGTTGTCATCGTCAAGTACTAGAGAATTTATGCACATCTTTGACATGCTCAAAAGGTCCATTGTTGATGTTAACTGAGCCAGATTGAAGAGAACGACGAGTGTTCAATGCCAAAGTTAAAGGCAGGAATTCGAAGGGGTAACAAACATAGATTTTGCTGATTATGGAGAAACAAATCATATTTTTCATTATATAAATCGCAAACTGAATTAAACATCAAGAGATTAACTTGATCTCGAAGACGTTACCTCTGTGCTCAACAGATACATTAAAGGTACTGAGACCCTCTTTGCGCTCTTTCTGGTGTAGGTTCGATGGCGTAGTTGGTTATCGCATCTGTCTAACATAAGAGTTTAAGACTCCATCATGATCAGTTACACAGAAGGTCCCCGGTTCGAGCCCGGGTCGAATCACTAGTTGGCCACAGCCTCCGCTTTTTCTCCCTTTCACATCGTTTCAGATTTTAATCCCGGGGGAGGGGGGTGGAGTACATAAGTATAGGTTTTGGACGTTTGAGTTTTGTGTGAACATTATTATGTGTTCATGTCACATGTTACGATAGCTGCTTGGAAATGGACTCTTTAGTGGTAGTTCGGGATTTGTTTTTGATCGCTAACGGTACATCTGTGCGTGATACTTGCCCAGGAATATTTACCTGTTTTGATATCTACATTGATGAAGGGTCAAGTAAGAGAAGTATGTACTGCTTTCTGCCACGCTCTTCTTGTTTAGACGTAAGTAAAGTCAGTATATGTAAACATTACTTACGACTCAGTGAGACTTGAGTAAAGCTATTACCTATTGTAGGGGTATAAATCTTTGGGAATTTTCTTAGTTCCAATCCATCACGTCCTTGGAGCGCTCATTCCGTCCAAGTTCATATCGAAGTTACCGCCCATATCACCCAATAGCTTTCTCAAAGAAAAAATATATTACAGTACTGTAAGTGGACAGAGGATACTGTAGAGTATTTACCTACTAACTAACGAGATCTTGAGGTATACTTTGTAAACTTTGACGAGGCTGAGAAGCGTTTTGCTGAGGCAACTGCCTGAATATATGGTATGAAGAAAAGGATAAGCTTAGGCTAAAGCAGAATCTTGATGATTGATGATTGATCATGCATCATTACAGGGACCAGGATTGTGGTCATAGACACCTGAGTCTGCCAGATGGGGTCTTAGGGGTTGATCATACCAATCCAGCATCTTGGAAAGGAGATGTAATTGTAGGTCATCATGTGGATCTGTAGAAATTTTGGGCTGATGGTTGAGAGGAGGCAATGAAAATTTTCCATGAGTACCATGGAGCTACTCCTGGTATAAATATTGACTTTGATTTTGAGGGTGAGAGTTTTGCATGGAACTACTCATGGTGCAGATGTTGACTTTGACTTTGAAGATCTTTTTCAGGATGTTGAAAAGTTTGATCTTCTCCGGCCATCTGGCAACTATGTTTGTATTAGAGAGGCTTCAAATTTTGAAGATGACAAAAGATCTGAAGGGGAGAGTAATCTTGCACAACCACACATTTCCCACAATATCTCTTTGTCCAGCACTCTTCCATTGCCAGTTTATTCATCTTCGCTTTCTGAAACTCACATCCAATCCACAGTTTCTGCTGCAGATGACTCAGATATCAGTATGCGATCAAAATCAGATTAATTTGAGGACTCAGAGTCAGACACAGGTGACTCTGAGTCTGAAGATATACAGAAGCGAACCCCTTAGCAAAAAATGACCCATAAGCTCAAAAAAATAATATTCCCAGACTCTACCAAGATCTGTCAATACAGAACCAGAATATGTATAGCATAGGTCCTAAATATAAATTTTCAAAGGCTGGTATCATCAATATAGCTCAGAATCATAAAATTACCATTTCTGCACAAGAAGTGGTACAAAACTACATCATAAGCACTGTGGTAATTACCTTGATTCTCCTTTGCTATTCTTGTGTATGTAGGTTTTTTAAGGTCTCTGAGCTCAAAAATGACCACCTCAAAACACCAAAATGTACAGCTGGCCGTGAAGAGCATTTTTTGCTTATGGGTTTTTTGCTCATTTACAGACAAATGCAGGCTCAAACACAAACCAAATTGCATAATTATTTTCTTTGACTGAAAGAGCTCATTGTTAAAAACAAGATCAAAAAAAGAGTTTTGTAATAAATATTAAAATTTAGGCCGGAAAAACAAAATTTATAGAAAATATTTCGCTTATGGGTTCGCTTCTGTATCATATAATTGCAGGAGCTAGACTTGATGAGCTGGTAGCTCATGAGGAGCAAAATCAGGAGGCCCCAGCCCAACAAACCTCTCCTAAATTTAACATGACAGTTGTCAATCCAACTGATGGGAAGAAATATCTGAAACATTCAGTAGTAGCAACTCTTCTCCACACAAATTGTGGTTGCAAGGCTACTCTTCATCCCTTGAGAGTCCAAGGTGTTGCCATTGATGATCTTTTAAAGAGACAACAAGACTAGGACAGCTATTCCTGAATCCTTAGATTGTTCCAACTTGGGAAACACTGATTTGATGGCAGCCGATGCCATGTTTCATGGGGATGATACACTGTTATCGTTTTGTATGGGTGTTAGGTCGCAGAGTTACGGGGTTTTTTCACCCAGAGTTGATTTACAAAGGAAGGCCCAGATCTCTGGAAGTCTAAGTGAAGAAGCGAATGCGCAGTCTGTCAATATTGCCTACTTACTTGTACTTATAACGAAGGAGCGTAAGATATCTTTCGTGAGGATTCCACAACTTGGAAGCAATTTAAGATATGAATCTTTTAGAACCCTGGGTTCTAAATTTGAAAAAATTAGAAATCCTTTAGAAAAAGAAAAAAGGGTAGACAGAATTGTAGATGAACGGCATACAACCTAACCTCTTCAGACTTGAAGAGACAATCTTGCCGTTGTTTTCTCCCTGATACACTTTTGAGAAAAATATTCGTTACTCTTCGATACAAACAGAATTTATACTGAGCATGCACTGGCAACCAAACCGAGTTTCAGTACAAGTACGTACCACCGCTCTAAGCGTTGATAATACTCCGAAACATAGGTGGACTGACCAAAACTATAAGCAAACGAAAACCGGAACCGGCAAATGCAAGCGATCCAAATCATCGATGAGAGTAACAAAAAAACATGAAAGAAAGAAAGGACGAATAGTGAAAAAGTGAGAGTCTAGTAGCATTTTATGGGAGCTATAGTGAATAAGGACTTGTCATCGACCACAGTATCTGATACTGCGAGAACAAAACGAAATTGGGCACGTCTGCTTGTTGCATTTTTCTATGATCGTGTCCTCTTTGACATACCATGAGCTGTGTCATCCGAGGTGAGGTGATGACTGGTGGCTCGTCGGTGTGAGAGGGGGGCGGCGGATAAAAATTTGTGAACGTGTAGATGCAAACACGGTCCGAGGAAGTAGAAGGACATCTTGGGATGGACGGGAAGAGAACTTGAGCTGAAATTTATATAAATGTCAAAGTTAAAGAGCGCATATAAGGTAGAACCTCACACATGATTGGACAAACATTAATTTCCCCTTAGATAAAACCTTTAATTCAAAGTTCTACTTAAGAACGGTTGACAATGAGAGAAGGATGCAAAGAAGTACTGGCGGACTCTATGCAGAGGTGTGGATATCCGCGTGATTGGTAGGGCTGCCCGCATCTATAAGATTAAGTAGTACTTATGCGATCCTACTCCATCCACTGGGACGCGAAGAATGGGCATTTCTGCGGAAAAATGAAATCTTTCTTCAAGTCTTCGTCTTTGCCCGTCCATAAAAGGTTCGTGGGGCCGGCGGTGTCAAATTGGCAACAAGAGCGGAGCTTGAACACAAAGGATCATTTGAAACCTTATTTTCCAAGAACTGAATTACTCGGTCACATGCATCTGGATGTTTTACTGTCGTCCTTGACTTGATCGGTACTACTGAAGACTTCAGATAAGCAAATATGGCTCATCCGGCTAGTTACATTGGGTTAGAGATACTTTCGATTACCTAGTAGCGTTGACTGGTGACTTAATTATCTATACAGATTTTTCAACAACTCACAGAATAATATTCTTAACAATGTTGAGGTTAATATTGTACAAGGAAATCAGAACGCTTGGGCACCAGGTGAGAAATTAAAGTATCTGTGAAATCACCACTTGTACTGACAATTTTTCATAATTTTGAATTTGTAAAGACATTGAGGATAAAATTCATAGATGGCTCAATGCTCCAAACCCCTCTGAGAACTTTGTCAAAGCATTGGATAAAATGACACCAGGCACTGGATCCTGGTTGATCAATGACCAAAGATTTATCAACTGGAAGAATTATGGTCCTCTTTTTTGGTTGCAAGGCAAAGGTAGGTGTCCAGTGGGCATGTACTGATCAATTATTCTAAATCTCAAAAAATTGCTCAGCTGGTTCTGGCAAGACATTCTTGTGGTAGGAATTCACTTGTATATGGATCTAAAAAAAAGCTTATTTGATTGTTTAGTACTAATGCCATCAAACATTTGCAAGATTATTCTCAACAAGTGTTCTACTACTATTTTGATACACTTGACCAAAGCAAATCCAAGGTCACCTACAAGGGTTTCATTGCAGCTCTTCTTTTCAACATAGGAAGACATGCTGACCAATTTATTCTGAAAAAACTATACCAGAAGCATGGTAATGGAACCATCAATATAACTACAGATGCTGTAGGAGCTGCAGTCTTGGAACTAGTTATTACTTCTCCAAACACTACTTACATCCTTTTGGATGCAATGGATGAGTGTGAGGAGCAGATGAAGGTCATCAACTTTATTGGAGAATTGCTGAAAAGTGGAAAAGTGTACATACTGGTGACATGTCGGGATCCAGTCTCAGAAACTCATTCCAATGTATTATCCTCTGCTAAAATTTGGAAGTTGTCACTAGATGAAGAAAAAAAAATGGATGACATGATTAAGCATATAGAAAATAGTATCGGCGATCATCTCCCTTGGTTAAGGAGCATGGAGGATAAGATCAGAGATAGCTTAATAAATGGAGCTGATGGCCAGTAAGTAATTTGTTTCTCTTTACTCATAATTTTGTACTGACACTTCGTAAAGGATACGTTAGGTTGATTGCCAGCTTACTGATTTGAAAAAGATTAGAAGCAAAAAAGCTGTCGAGAAAGCATTAAAGAATCTTCCAAGAAATTTGGCAGACATGTATTGGAAAGCATTGGCTGACATTCATGAATATCAACAAAATGAAGCCAGATGCATCTTGAAGTGGATACTATTCTCTTTCGAACCAGTAACTGTTGATATGGCCATGGAAATTCTGGCATTTGACAATGTGGATGAAGATATCTCCTATTTGGAAGAAAATAAATATGAGTTGGGAAATGAAATTGTGAAAATTGTT